TATATATATATATATATATATATATATATATATATATATAGAGGAGCGTTCAAATACAATCAACCTTGATTTATACAAACCATACAAACTAATAACTACCAATCACATAAACCCATTTGTTTTTTTTTTTTTTTTTTTAGTTTATAAGGGCATTATGGCCTTTTGAGTTTACAACAGTATGTTTGGTAAGTATTTAATACTAATAGATAAGTTTAGTAATTCTTTAATTTTACATAAATATGGATTATATCTTGATTAGCTAGTACTTTTTTAATAAATATTTAATTGATTTATACATTAAATATGTTGATACAAATTGTCATCTTTGAAAAATGTACAATAATTGTTGATTAAAGAATATTTTTATGTTTCATCATTTATTAAAATGTCCCATATTTTATAGTTTATAGGTAACTCTATTTCGTCATTAACAGTTCCATTATGTTTCATCATTAACAGTTTCATTCTGTCTAATACCACAATTTTATTTGTTTCATCATCAACAGTTTCTTTCTGTTTTATCATTAACACTTCTAAATAGCTTATTGTCACATCTTTAACAGTTTCATATATAGTGTCCAATGAAACATGTTCACGAGATTGAATGCGGGAAAAAAATTTCAATGATCGCAACAGTTTACAATTTGTTCATGTTTTTTCCTTTCTTGTTGAAAATAATAATAATTTGTTTTCTTTTATTTTTTTAATTTTATTAAAATAACTTGTTTTAATCGTGACGTTTGATAATGAAAATGGATGGATGTAATTGGTTTGTATAAAAAACATGGTTTGTAAATTAAACCTCATCTCTCTCTCTCTCCTAAAACCGTGGCATCAAAAGTTTGATGAATTAATTTTCTCCAATGATTTTCATCTAAACCAATCGAACAAACTTGTGTATAGCAAATTCGATGATTTCGGTAACGAAGTCATCATTTGTGTACATGTACATGACATGTTGATCTTTGGCACGGACTAAAGACAAGTTGACTTGACAAATGAATTTTCGTCATCCAAATTCACTATGAAAGATTTGGGGGAGGCAAAAGTGATCCTTGGAATAAGGATTAAACGAGAGAAAAAAAGGTTTGGGGATAACACAATCTCACTATGTTGAGAAAGTGTCAGAGATATTTAGTATGCTAAATTGTTTACCCGTGAGTACTCCAATGGATTCCTCTAAAAAGCTTATGTACGACAAGGGTGAAACATTGGAACACTCTAAGGCAATTGGGTGCTTGATGTATGTTATGACAAGCATGCGACCAGATGTTGCCTATGCTGTTGGAAGGTTGAGTAGGTTTACTAGTAGACCTAGTGCTCACCATTAACAAGATGTTAGAAGGGTTTTCAAATATTTGAAGGGAACATGAATTATGATATAACTTATATTAGGTTTCCTTTAGTGATTGAAGGATACACAGATGCAAGTTAGATTCCCAATATAGAAGATCATTTTTCTACTAGCAGATGGGCATTCTTACTTAGAGGAGGTGCCATTTCTTGGGCCTCAAAGAACCAAACTTGCATCAATAATTCCACCATGGAATCTGAATTTGTAGCCTTGGCTGTTGCGGATAAAGAAGGGGAGTGGCTAAGGTATAATGGAAAGTCAAGGCACTTGGGAGTAAAACATAACATGGTTAGGGAAATAATCATGCATGGGGTGATATCTGCTACGTTATAGAACTCACAATAACTTAGCTGACCATTTAACAAAGGGGTTATATAGGGACTTAATGCACAAGTCTGTGATCATGATGGGCTTAAAGTCCCTATAAATTTCTAATAATGATATACCCAATTCCCTTTAATACAACGTTAAAGGTTAAACTCAAAACTTATTAATGGAAATTGAAGCACGTGATCATTACATCCCAAGGCATGTGCTTAGACCGACAAGTTTTGAGAGGCTGAAATTTTTGCAAAACTTAAAAGAATCGCCTATATGGACGTGAACTGTGGTTGCTTCAAGAAAGTTCTTGACTTGACTTTCTATGAATGGATCAGGATGCAAGTCCTCTAAAACAGTGTCAAGTTTAGTATCTAGATTTGTACAAACTCATGTCTATATTATCTTCATCTATTCAAATGGGTTGAAGGTTCAATTCTTAGAACACCTCGATTCTCGAATATTTGGAATGTGTGATATACTAAGATGAAAATTCAATCTTCATGACATTTTCGTTTATGCATCTGCTCGATTTTACATGTTTATGTTATGTGTTGTAAATCAAAGGATTACACTAAAATGAGAGAGGAATGTTGGTGATTGTGATATACATGTTTATGTTAGTGTCATCAATCATTTTGGTGTAACTGTGATTACTTAGGATTGATTAAAGTGATAAAGGAAAACATAAGTGAGTTGGGAGGTGTGAAGTGCATATTCACAAATGTTGCCCCTATCACCTTAGATCGCCATAAGGCCGAAGGGAAGGGTCAAGGGGGTCGCTTCCCCTTACGTGGTTAGTGGGGCAACATCCCTAGTTGGGTTCCAAGGGGCTCTGCCCCCTTGGGGTGAAAATTTTACTAAATATAAGTCTGATATGGTGTGATTAGAGATATGAAGTTAGCGCTGAAATTAACTATTTTCACACCTGAAGCGGGATCAGGGATAGCATTACCCGCCCCTAATCCGACCCTTATTAATTTTTTATTTTAATTAATATATGTATATAGTGTGTATAAATATATATATATATATATATGTATATGTATATATGCTTACATTTATTATTAAATGACAAATATATTTTGAGCTTCAATATTGGTAATTACTATAGTGACGGTCCATTATAATTTTAATTTTAAAATAAATTGTTTTTTACTAAACGGGTGTCCAACAGGTTCCCCGAACCCGTCGGGGATTCCTTCCCCCCTAAACCCATCGAGGATTAATCGGAACGGGATCGGGGACAGGAGGGGGGAGGGGGGAGGGGCTTAAACGAGGGTCGAAGATGCCATTAGCCGCCCAATATCCTCCACACTTCCATCCCCCTTGGAGATGCTCAAATATTTTGATGAAAAATTATTAAAAAAAATTATTAAGCATTTAATACTACTTATTATATATAATCTTCAAAAACTAAAATTTATAATTTATTGCTTCAAACAAACAACTTCAACTTTGAACTCCAAAATATCAATTTATAAATATATTCAAATACAAAATAGATTTGAGATTTATTATACAGTCACATAAATTCGTGGTCACGTTGGAAAGTGTTTCAATATGAGATACGGAACAAGCCGTCGAAATTTTTGGGGCCCAGTATACATTATTAACCTGCAATTATACATGTTTTAACTCAATTATCTATACTATGATATAAAATATTTGACAAAAACTTTTAAAAATCATTTTTCGTACATGAAATACTGTTTATTGATACATAAAAAATTCACGATTATAAGTAAATTGTGCATAAGTACAACTTATTAAAGTTCCATGCTTGAATTCGTGTTACTAACTGCAGATACAAATAATCAAATACAAGATAAACATTTCATTTTTAATATAAAAATCTAAAATATRMTTAGGATAATCGTTGTGTTTTAACAGAATATTTAATTATTGTCTTTATAAAAAATTATATTATTAAATCAAAAATAAATTAATTCGTTATTAAACCTAAATTAAATTATAATAAAAAAACTGAATTAAAGAAATTACAAAAAAAAAGAACTTTTAAATAGTTAATTTGATACTAATATCGATATATTTGTTTTTCAAAAATTTATAGTATCTTCAAATTTATATTTTATTAAAAAATAAAAACATTATCGTTTTCTCTAAAACCACGTAAAATTGTATTATGACATCGACATGAGACAAAATAAAACAAATATTAAAATCGAGATGTATCTCGCTGCACTACACGAATACCATTCTAGTACTCTTTTAAGTTTTTACTCTTTAACCGATATGGCCATATTCTATTCCTGTGAAATGTTAGAAAAATGATTTTATTGAAGTTAACTTATATGTTACTTTGTCATTCCAAGACATTTTTTTTGTTTTAGTTTATAAGATTTTTAATATAATATATATCATGAACCATTATATTTTGTCCTCTTTAGAATATTCATTGACTTTTAACAAAATATTTAATTATTATATTTATCAAAAAACATTATATTATTAAATCTAAA